AAGAGGGAGATCTCTTTAAACTATTTAAACAATGCCACATAATTGTGTTTACAATCAGTGATAGAGAATAATAAAAATACTTATTCATTTTATTTTAATTAATTATTGTTAACTATTATGAATGTCGTTGTAAATATCAATGTTCATTTTCTTCTTCTTTTTAAAACGGAGAGGTTAGATGTATTCTTACCATGAGCAACACGACAGGTGTCATACGTGTAATTTACTCTTCTGGATCACAATGTTTGGAAGGGTTCGTGTTGCTCAGTCTTTAGCTATTCGTAGAGTGTTTTAGACTGCTGTTTGTCTTTTCGTCGTTTTTAATTTTTTGTTATGATTTTGTCAGTTTTGACTTCTGAGTTTGGGTTCTCGTTTTTGTATTTTCCGCATTTTTTTAAGGTGAATAAGTGTTTGGAGATATTTTTCTGTCAAATTGTTAGATAAATTGGTTGAGATGGAAAAATATTTCTGGTTATAAAAATGTTTTGACAAGATAGCAAATATACTACAAACGATTAAATGACTAACGTAAATGTAGGTTTTTTCAAGGACTTTAATATTGGCAGTGTGAAATGGTGGCATTCGACAAAAATGTCCATTTGACGTGCTAATCCCGTTCATTTTCCCGCCAAATTTTACATCTTCAACGTGCTAGTATACTTTGCGGTGAAGATGCCTATACTATTTGAGAAATAGGAATACGTTATACTATTCTCCCTGTTATTGGTATATCAAAAAAAAAAAAAAAGTATAACATAACAAAAATACTAAATTCAAAATATTCAAAAAAGGAAAATCAATAAAAAATGATAAATTCAAACTTATCAACAAACAGATCGAACGGAAAACAACTGTCATATTCCTGAATTAGTACAGGCATTGTTTCAAGAAAATGGTTGGTTAAACCTGGTTTTACAGCTAAATAAACCTCCCACTTGTATGTTAGTTGTATCTTAGTTCCGTTATTTTGACAAAATTGAGGGAGCAACGTAAACAGACAATAGGTTAATGTGACAATAATTTTGATCCAGCAGCCAAAACTGTGTAAACATACATTACAGATATACAAGACAACTGACTAAAAAAATCAAACAAACATATAAATACTAGTTTATCCAACAAAGACGTCAACAAAGAGTTTTTATAATTGATAGTAAATTGACAAAAAACGCCGATAAAAAAATGTTCTTTAGTTGATAGTACATACCGTATATAGTCTACTCGATAAAGTAAAAATTAAGTAAAATTTAAATATAAATACAAGAGTAAGCAAAATTGAACCAACACTGTAAAAACATCATCCGTCCGAGTCTCACCTTAGGACCACATGCACCAGGAACGCCCATAGTAAAAAAAACGAATAGGTCAGCCAGGAGAGGTGCACATTTGGTTCACATAGGGGAAAGTCGACATCCTGCTAGAAAAATCTACCTCTGATTTCAACAGATATATTGTCAATGAGAAACTCCAGCATACTGATCACTTGTTCTTCGATGAAGCAAGTTTTATTTCCGGGCTTATTTTTAGCAATATACACAGAATTATATCACAAAATAATAAATTTATATCGCATCGTATCATTTTTATGGAGGAAAGCATTGTGGATTATCTCTTAAAGACGGGCTTTAAATTTTTCATGTGGTGGGGTAGTGTAAAAGGTGGAAACTCGAAGGTGTTGATAGAATTAATTTCAGAGAATGACCGAGATTTATAATTTTTCCAGAAGTTCTTTTGAGTTCTTCACAATCACGTATGGTTAATACGCGAGTAAACACTGTCACAGTATTTCTGTAACCCCTCTTTCACTGCGGACAACATTTTGGTTCATCTATCGGACAATTCCTTGGAAGAACATACAGATGAGCCGGCAATGTACCGTTGTTTGTCCGAAGCTTTGTAAAGTTTAGGTATCCAATACAAACAAGATAAGTCCTCAGATTTGTTGCTCATTGAAATATTCAATGAGGCCATGAAGGATTTATAGTTTGCTGAGATTTCATCCTGATCAAAGGTTACGTTTTTGTACGTGAGATTACCCGATTGTTCATTTATTTTTAATTCTTTGATTAGACACTCGTAGTAATAGGATTTAAAAACAAAACAATATTGTTTGGAGCTTTGACCACAGGAACAACAACATATTTGTCGTGAAGACACCTCAGACATTTCACAGCTTCTTTGTCTCTGAATACAGACTAGGTTGAATAATAACACTGTTTTTCAACTTGTGGATTCTAAGTTGTACATGTATCAACGACCTAATAGCTTTCATATGAAGATAACCCATTCTGACAGAGTTTCTATTTCAACTTTTCCTTGCTATGCCAATGCTCTGGCATAATCCTCAACGGAATCCATTAATATTCTAAAGTTATGGTTCCAATTGATGTGTTGTGGCTTTCTAAATTTAGGACCATGAGATATCACCTTCCGGAGATGTTCATATTGAATTATATCTAGATCACATAGTCCATAAATAACATGGCCAGATGGCATTGTAACAAGAGGCTCTCAAGAGCCTGAATCGCTCACCTATATTTCAGAGGAGAAGATTTTTAAATGTTAGCAAACTTGATGAACAAATTGTGTAACATTGTCTTTAAAGGGCAATAACTCTTTAAGGGGTCAATTGACAATTTTGGTCAGATTAACTTTTTTGTAGATCTTACTTTGCTGAACATTATTGCAGCTTACAGTTTATATCTATCTACAATAATATTCAAGATAATAACAAAAAACTGCAAAATTTTGTAAATATACCAATTTGGTGGCAGAAACCCAACAATGGGTTGTTCGATTCGTCTGATAATTTCAGGGCCGATAGATCTTGACCAATTGAACAATTTTACTTCATGTCAGATTGCTCTAAAAGCTTTAGTTTTTGAGATATAAGCCAAAAACTGCATTTGACCCTTATGTTCTATTTTTAGCCATGGCGGCCATGTTTGTCAATGGATCAAAACTTCGGATACATATTATAAACAAGATACCCTAAGGAACATTTAGTTTAAGTTTGATGAAGGTAATTGGTCCAGTAGTTTCAGAGGAGAAGATTTTTAAATGTTAGCAAACTTGATGAACAAATTGTGTAAAATTGTCTTTAAAGGCCAATAACTCCTTAAGGGGTCAATTGACAATTATGGTCTTATCAACTTTTTTTGGTAGATCTTACTTTGCTGAACATTATTTCTGTTTACAGTTTATATCTATCTATATCAATATTCAAGATAACAAAAAATTGCAAAATTTCCTTAAAACTACCAATTTAGTGGCAGCAACCCAACAATGGGTTGTTCGATTCGTCTGAAAATTTCAGGGCTGATAGATCTTGACCAATTGAACAAAATTACCCAAGTCAGATTTGCTCTAAAAGCTTTAGTTTTTAAGATATAAGCCAAAAACTGCATTTGACCCCTATGTTCTATTTTTAGCCATGGTGGCCATGTTTGTCGATGGATCAAAAGTTCGGATACAATTAATTAACTATATACCCTAAGGAACATTCAGTTAAAGTTTGAAGGTATTTGGCCTAGTAGTTTCAGAGGAGAAGATTTTTGAAATAGTTTACGACGACAGACGACGACAGACGACGACGACGGACGACGACGGACGCCAAGTGATGGCATCAGCTCACACGGGACCCTTTGGGCCCCGGTGAGCTAAATATATGGAGATTTGGAAAAGCCACATGTCAGAGGGTTTTTCAAGTATTCTTCTAAATCAATATCTTGAATGTTTCTTTTGTATCTTTCGCCTCTATTGCAATACTTGTTGATAGTCAAACATTTTAGGCGAATTGCTTTTGGTGTAACTAAAGTAGACAATACGAACAGATTGATTTTGAAAAAGATGTTACTTCGTTGTGATGTTGATAGCATCGAATCCGTTATTTAAAAACTGAGTTGGAAGGAATTTCCTATATTTTCATTGGGTAATGGTTTTGATATTACTGGTTTTAGATAAACGGAAAATAATACCTTATTGATTTGATGCTTCCAAAGTTTTGACATATACCTGGATCAGGAACAACAAAAAGTAAAAGCAGGGGATGTTTAATTACTATCCTGTAATTCAGTGGTTGTCAATTGTTCCTGTTTGTCATTATTTTTGCCTTCACAATAAATAAGGCCGTTTGTTTTCTGTTTTGATTTTTCCATGGTCATTGTAGCATATATAGTTGACAGCTATGGTTATAGCTAACTACATAGAATGTGTTTTGCTTATTGTCGGTGACCGTTTGTTGTTTACATCCTGGTCCTTTAGTCTCTGGTGGATAGTTGTTTCTTTAGAAATCATACCACATCTTCTTACTTTTATATTGAATATTTAGTGAGCTATATTACCATACGGGACATAGAAAGAAAAGCAAAATCCAACTTGGGTCAACTTTGCCTGATGGATTTAGATTTTTTTTTTCATTATTTCTAAATTAATCAACGGAGAATTTATTTAAAAAATGTAGCTGCTTACATCAACGTCGTTTTGGTGGATATTATCTAATTGGGATTTAAACCACACCCTCTTTTTCCATATATATGTAATAAACAATGCAATTACCGAAGCACTGACCAATGAGTTGATGATACCCTCTAGACTAGCAGTTGACCAGCAGTCAGTATCGACCCAGTGCTGGTAAAGGAAATAATCACTTTATAAATTTTGTGTATCCGAAGTGACTTTTCTGGATTTGCCTTGACCAGTAACTTGATTAACAACATCAACAAAATAGACCTAAAAAGAATAGCCATATCCACCAAAGGTCAATATTCATATATGTTTTTTATTAATCATTTTGTCTATTTTGTATCATATGTATCAAAATGCATTCAGTTAAACCAGAGAGGTCAATGGATCTAAAGTATACAGGAAAAATTGCAACATATGTTTTCATGTCGGGCCTAAACATATGTTTACATATGTTTTCAAACATATGAAAAACATATGTTAAACATATGAAAACATATGGTGCAATTTTTCCTATGTAATACAAACAAATGACACATACATTAATATTGTAATGCGTATGAACATAATGTGACAGATAAATATTTCAAGCATATTTACAACTCTTTCGAATTTAATAATCAAATCAATGACTTTGTCCTATGTTATGTATTCGTCCTTTTAGCTAATGTTAAGATGTAACATAATTTTAATGTCAGGCAATCCATTACAAACGGAAAGTACTATATTCTACTTTGCAGATTTATTTTTACGATAGTTGGTACAATGCAACGCTTCCTCCCTTGAAGCCTAAACAGAAAATCTTCTTTTCCTTGTTGTAATGCACTGCAGACGGAGATTGAAGTCCATCACGATCAGTAAGTATGACCTTACTGTCTTTACCGTCATGTTGTATTACTGTCAAGTTGTTAGAGGTTTGACCAACAACAAATACGTTCTGATTATGATCCACTGATATACCTCTCGGATTTGAAATAGACTGATCCTTGAATACCAAGATGTCTTGTCCTGTCATACTACAGCAATGTACTGTATTATTTCCCAGGTCTGTATAGTATATATTGTCTCTGGTCGTTGTTATATTATACACAATTGGAACATCGATTTCGATTGTATCTAATGTCTTCCCATTTAAGTCCATCACCACTATGCCTTGTTGTAATACAACAACATACAGCTTCTGATCCTGGTAAGATATTCCCCAGCAGTATTTTTTACATTTCACCTTCTTCCTTTCACTATAATTCTTAGTGTTTATAATCTCCAGGTATTCAGATGATCCATATGTAACAGCTATACAGTCGGTATCTACTATTGTAAGACTATGCGGTTTATCAGAGACAGGAATGTCACGAATATGTTTTCCATTGTTATTGTATTCCATTAATTTTCCACATCCATTATAGTCTGCAATTATAATTCGGTCGTCCGGTAATACAATGCAGCCAGTTATTGGTTTTTCTGATCCTTTGATATCAAACTTCTGTTTCAGCTGCATATCGACATTATGAATATTTTGGGAAAATCCATGTATCTGTATCTGAGCCTGGTCTATCTTTGCATCTTTAAGTTGTAGATTTGTAATGGTTTCAATAACTTTGATTTCTCCATACTGTTTTACCTCCTTCATCAAGGAACAGATCATGTGATGTATCTCTATTTCAATTTTGCTTTTCGAACAAACTCTTATTTCTTCTTTGAGCCATTCAACCTGTCTACTAACTGACTGGTATAATTGTCGAGTTCCAAGAAACACTTGTAAGTCAGATGCAAAACGTTTCATTTGAAGTGTCTGGTCTTTCAGTTTTTCTACCTCTTTCTCCATTTGCTTCAATTGATTAAGAATTTTCATCATTTTAGATTTACAGTTTTCATGTTTGGATTTCAAATCTAGCAGCAGTTTTCTCTCGAGTTTATCCAAGTATTCATTGAGATTCTTCCGTGTGTCTGTAATCGTTTTACGTATTGTTTGTTCATCTTGGTCCACATTTGCCAAAGCTATTTCTCGGTCTTTGATACAGTGTTTCACGTTTTCTATAGTTGTTGATATAGTTCCTTCTAAGTCTAAGAGTGCACTTGATTGTTTAGCGTTTTTTGATGCTTCATCAATGGAGATGACATCAGAAGAGGAACATGCTTTATGTTCCGAAGGAATACAGACTACACATACTGCAATATCGTGCTTCTTACAGTATAAATCTAGCTTTTTACCATGCATCTCACAGTTCATATTTACGGAAATGTCTTGTATTTGACGATAGTCCTCAATAGAAATCATCTTATGATCTCTCAAAACTTTCATAGATTTGTGGTATTTTTCACATTCTCCACAAAATCCCTCTTCACAATCGGTACACCATTTCTTTGCGTTTTTCGTGACGTCATCGTATCCACACGGACCACAGGATATGGTCAGTTTTGTGGCCATATTTCGTGCCTGTTCAAATATATAATATTTTAGCAAATTAGAAGATCTAGAATTCATTGAGGTTAAATTTGATTTTAATTGATTGTTTGTTTGATGTTGCTGTTTAACGCCACTATCGACACTACATGTTGTCTATATTGTGATGGCCAGATTTTATTGGTGGAGGAATCCAGAGTGCCCTGAGAGAAACTGGCATTCCTTGCCAAATAACCGGCATCGGGGTCGAATGCATTTTATGACGGATTTTATAAATGATGTGTTGTTAAAGGTAGCAGTTTTTGTAGAAAAAAAAATGAAAATAACACTTAATAAATAGTATGTGTCCGAAGCGATTTTCCAAATATTTGAAAGCCAAGTATATATAAGTACAAAAACACGTGAAGAGCAATCTGACCTAAAAGTAAAATCCAAATCCATCTAGTGACTTCACATTTGATAAACACTGCTTGAAACTTACATTAGATGTCTCCTTGTTTTGTGTGTGTCGTTGCCGTCTCTAGGTCATTGACGGACATCCTATATCTGCTTTTATTCATATCAAACAAATTTTAAATGCAATTTGCTTCCACTTGAGGTCAAACATGATATAAAAAACCTAATTAGGAATAATCAATTTGGGGATTTAGTCCAAAAATACCGGTGTTAAGAAATGTGCATGTTTTTTAATCTTTTTTCTTTGTTTTGTGTTTAATTGATTCATAGTTTGTCTTTACTTGTGTGGATTTCAAGCTTGACATGTTGTGTAGACGATTATCATTTTTAAGAGCTATGTTGATCTCTAGATTTGTTCGCTTTTTGTGTTGTTAAGTTGCTTACATTGACATTGACGTTTACCCTCACCTCTTTTTAACCATGTTTGTGGATGCAAATATAGAGCAAAATTGTTTTGATAATATTTCACCTTTTCCTCCGATTATATTGTTTACAAAGGTTAATACTTTTAAAATCAGAGCGCGTGAGCGCTACAAAGTAATTGCCGCCAAGGAAATGTTTTTTGTGATTTATACTAGTTTTCATTCTTACATAAAAGAATTTCACCAAGTACAACGGACAGTACACTATATTGATCAAATACAGAAAACACTTTTGACAATTGATTTTGACTACCTCAGTGTCATAAGGTGAAGTGACTTTTCTTTTTAAAATTGATAGACAGAAGTAGTGAGACTTTTAAGTTTAAAGAGAAATGCTTGTTCGGTCATTCTGCTCTAATGTTTGGTTTATATATTACCATTTGTATTTTTTAAATTCTTTTTTATATTGTTTAAATTCAATTTTATTTCATGTCTGAGAAAAACCATTGCAGTACATTTGTCTCAGTTTATGTTCTAAATTGACATTTATAGTTGCATGCAAGCAAATGTTTTCACTTGTCAGAAACTACCAAAAAATGTACCAACTAAATATCTAGTACTGTTGCAATTCAACATGTAGAGGAAAAAAAAGGAAAAGAAAACGAATTATCATTTATCAATTACTAAAATCAAGAAAATTATTCTGGTTATGGTATTCATTGTTTTTAATTGCAAAATGTATAAATTTAACAAATTTTAAGCAAATAAAATCAATGAATTGAAAAAAAAATATGTGGCATTAGAATATACTTGTAACTAAGGGGATCTAACCGAGTGTCTATTAATCGGCGCTAAATGCGTATTATTCACTTTGGGTTCGTTATTCTCCGATCATCTGCGCCATGCATTTTTCTATGGTTAATATCGTAAAAATGCGTATTTTGGTCATTGTTTGGTCCGGCATCCGCCTCCGATCCGTGGTTCGTATAAATATTTCAATGGCGGACATAGGAAAATTAACAATAATAAACAATCTTTGATGACCGAGTTGAAAAGGTTTATAATTCAATAAATGGATCAAACGTTAATAAAAGGCTGTCATAATAACGTTTTAATGAAGTGAAGCATTATTTTGCCGAAAATCAGAATCTTTTGATATACGCCCGAGTTACCAGTACTTGAAGTGAAAAAGAATACTTCGAATCCTTTGATTGTTCCTTTGAAATATCATACAAACAGTTTAAAAATTCAATTGGCTAAGTTTTTTATTTTTTAATTCACATAACTTGCATTTAAAGAGTAGTGTGCTCTGACAAAACGCACTTTGTCACACGGATTTCTACCTATATTCATCTATGTCAATCGGAAACATGAAAAATGCAAACTACATCTATGAATTAATGTTTTGAAACCTATATGGTTCAACATAGTCTTTAACTGACCTTTTTCTAAATCGATTACTTAGTAATCATGAAAACATAGGAAATTTATCGTGCAAAAGAAGAATCTAAATGTTGTACTTCGACCAGTTAAGTATCCCGCCGCATGAATCTACTTCACAAAAATGGCAGATTCACCATAGCATAGAAGCAATTGCTTTAAAAATCAAGTAATAATTGCCCAACTGAACTGGCTATGACACAAACGTATCAGGCATCGTTCCATTACGATGCAAACGGTTGTAAGTTTGGTTTTTTACACGTTACATGCCAAAGTAAATGTTATTTGACGTAAGGAAAAACAACCCAAAAAATATAAAACGTTTTCACACACGAGAAGGAAATAAGTAGCTAAATTAAACGGATGTCAAACTCACTAATATAAATTATAGCAGTATGTCGAACTCAAGCACAGTGATGTTCTCTATTCTTCGATTATGACACACCTGCAAGCGACTTATAATCACCAGTTTACCTTAGGGTGCCAATAATGGAGTAATTACTGTTTACAATTTATGAGCACATGAGCTTACCGCTTACCATCGCCTCTTCCAGCTTGTGTATGGTTTGTGCTGCTCAAACTTTATTGTTATCAAGCAAGTGACTAAAACACCGATCTCTATTAATATTATAACAGTTCGATTGGTTTTTGTTTTGAAAATATTTTTAACTATGTTGCTATTTGCAGTGTGCAAATGGTAGTTTTATCAGCTTTGAGAAATGGTTTTAACATAATTATCATCAAATACCAAATTCAATTCGGCACGTCAAATTATAACCGTTTAAGTACCAAGACGGAAACATGGAAGGGACAACGTTACCTTGGCCGATCTTGTTAAGGAACTGGAAAATCAACAAGGAAGCTTAAATTGTTACATTTAAGATTTCACTTTGTTCATTTAAGTCTTTATTTACCAAAGTTTGCAGATAAATTATAATTATTATTTACCCGTGAATATAAACAACAACAACGGTAAAACTGACGATTGTCTTTTCCAACTTTCGTTTCTATCGTAAGTCTGACGTTGTGTGCGTCAACAGGAACAAGCCACATAACTCACATGACCTGTTTGTTTATACATTTAAAATGTGAAAGAAGCGGGTAAATTTGAAAATAATGAAAAATAACGTTTGTCATATTTTTCAGTTAGGCGCTCTGACCATATATTACATCGATCGTTCTTTAACGTAGATTTCATAAAGTTATATCCCACAGTGAAAGTATTGAACACTGAAACATACAGAGGTGGATCGATATACTTAACATCAAATCCCTGAATGATCATATTTCAAGGAAGAATTCTGTTACACTACAGTTTACCATAAAGATAGCAACTGCCGTAGTTTCTGACTGGGGAAAGGTCGATTAACACGTGACGGGGTTAGACTTATTTTTTGCTCTGAAAACCACATAAATTTCGATCAATGGATTATAAACAAACACAAAACGAACGCACAATTAAACTAAACAGTTTAGCAAAATATTAACTATAACTATAAGCAGAACTTAACAAATTAACGAAACAATAAAGAAAAGAAAAATCAATTAAAATGATATTTAATCAAAAAGAAAAAAAGAAGAACTATGTAAAACAATACTATAAAAAAATAACCGTATCAAAGAATATCTTTGGTAAAAATACGACTACTTACAATAAGTACATAATCAAACAATATAGAAAAAAAAAGCAACTTAGGAGATAAAAAGGTAAAGTAGGGATTTGAGATCATAGATAAATAGACAGTTCACTTGAAGAAAACTTATGGATGTTCTGAAACAAATTAGAATTAACCAAGGGGACAAACAAACATTGTTAACTTTTAATACATTGTGACTTGGATGGAGAGTTGTCTCATTGGCACTCATACCAAATCTTCTTATTTATATTATCTGGGGAAAAAAAACAGAAAGCACTATGGCTAATAGACAAAACAAGAGTCCAGAAAACAAAATTCGGGTAACCCAAACCAGAACCAACACAAGGGTTTGACTCAGGGTCTCCGGAAATAACAACAGTTTCTGTTTTTCTAGTACCACCCGCCATTTCATGTTTGTCGAGCTTACGAAATTTATTTAGCGAAAGCGAGACAAAGCGATCCTAGATTCCGTCGTCGGCAGCTGCGGCGTCGGCGTCGGCGACATCAACATTTAGGTTCAGTCTGTGGTTAAAGTTTTTTTGGACATCAATAACTTTGACAAAAATACATGGAATTTTATGACATTGGGACAGAAGTTTGTTTATGACCAAAATACAGTATCCAGGGCAAAATTTTGAATATATTTATTTTCATTTTACCGTATTTTACTATTAAATGGACTTAGTTTATTTTACAGGTAACTTCAGATTTTGTATGAGGTTAAAGTTTTTCAGTCATCAATAACTTTGTCAAACCTTCATGCAATTTTATAAAATTTGGACAGAAGCTTGTTTATGACCAGAAGACAGTATCCAGAGCAAAATTTTGCAAATATTTATTTTCATCTTTCCGTATTTTACTGATAAATGGACTTAGTTTTTTTTACAGTTAACACTAAGGCTCGATCTGAAGTTAAAGTTTTTCAGTTATCAATAACTCTGTCAAAGCTTCATGGAAAGGAGAAGGCCCGGTAAGACCCATTTTTGGCCCCAAAATATAGCATTTCAAAAATTTGTTTAAAATGTAAACTTTTAGCTATTTTTTGGAAAGTTGAATACTTTTTTACATAAATATGGGCTGTTTTTGACAATACAATGCACATGCATAAGGTACTAGCATCATTAATTCATGCACAATTACTGAAATCTTCACAAATTTAGCATTTGTGCTAATTTTTAGACGGTTTTTGTCTAAAATGGAAGTGGCCGCATTTGTGTTCAGTCCTAATATTTAAATACATGTTGTATTTGATGATGATACATAACATATATTAAGGTTGAGACTGAACACGAATGCGGCCACTTTCATTTTTGACAAAAACATCTAAAAAGTGACATTTTGTGGCACATTTGATAGATTTTTCATATTCAAGCTTGAATTTAGGCGTCTTTAATGACCAAATCAGTTCAAACCATTTACATAAACTAATTGAATCGACTGAAGAAGACACAAAAATGTCAAAAATCTTTCATCAGACGTACTTCCAATTGTAGGCCAAAATAAGCTCTTACCGGACCTTCTCCTTTATGAAATTTGGACAGAAGCTTGTTAATGACCAACATATAGTATCCAGAGCAAAATTTTTGAAATATTTATTTTCATTTTTCCGTATTTTACTGATAAATGGACTTAGTTTTTTTACAGTTAACAAGTAGATACCGTCTTGGGTTAAAGTTTGTTACACATCAATTTCTTTCCCAAACCTTCATAGATTTTTATGAAACTTTGACAGTAGCTTTTTAATGATTAAGAGATAATGTCTGAAGCAAACCTTCGAAAATATATATTTTTCAATTTTAGTATTTTTTCTGATAAATGGACTTCATTTTTTACAGTAAACATTTAAAGACAAGATAAATTTGTAAACCTTCATGGATTGTGGATTGTTATGAAACTTGTACAGAAGCTCATCTTCAAGACTAAAAAATAGTATCTAAAGAAAAATTTGATTTTTTTTTTTTTTTTTTTTTTTTTTAATTCTGTATTTTTTCCTATCGAAGGTCGGTAGTGTTCTCCGGGCACTCCGGCTTCCTCCAGCAATAACAACTGGCCGCCACGAAATAGCCCAAAAGCGGTGCTTAAAAGTGGCGTTAAAACACAAAAGATGAAAAATCAATTTAATTCTGTATTTTACTGATAAATGGACTCACTTTTTAAGTCAAAATTAGAAGATTACACTTAACATTGACAGCAGCAATCGCAGGCGAGACACAGGGTTCCGCATATCCCCTTATGAATTTTTATTAAAATAATTGAAAAGGTATTATTAAGTGGCAGATTGGTAATGATCTTTTGTTTCAACCCTAAGACAATCCAAATGTTTAAACCATCGAAACATGTAAAATTCTCTTAATCAGGGCCAAAAGTGAAATTTTGAAATCAAAACCATTTTCAGAACAAGAAATAGAGGAAACACAGTTAAATTTGCAGTAAAAAAAATTGTTGTGGACTTTTTTTCTGTTATATCAACAGCACGATTTTCTAGAGTGCTTAAGCTTGGTGGTCATGTTTTAGTTTGAAGTCCTTGTTTAAACGGATTGTTTTTGACAACTTTCACATAAAAAAAAACAATCTCTATTGATGGCAATGCAAATATAAACACAAAAAAAACTGAAAATTAAAGATAAAATATAAAAACATTATAAGATTAAAAAGGTGCATGTACATGTACATTAATTAAAGAAATATGAATAAAACGGACGAATGTGTTTGCTTTTGTATTTTCGTGGCAATCTGTATGTCTTTGGGATGCCGGTCTAAATCTTTTTTGGTTGAAATTCACTTTTCCGGTTTTATTTTATTTATTGTTACATGTATTTGTTTTTTTTTTCATCATGACAATACATCGTGTTTGTTGCAGAGACGTGTTGGATACAGTCAAATTTCCCCGCAGTTCTAGCTCTGATCCGCAGACTACTTTACAAAAATGTAGTAGAATAGTTCTGGAATCGATCATTGTACGGATTTGGAATACAGCTGGTACATAATTTGGTTTTGATTACTGAACTGATATGATATTGAATAAAATTGAGAATGAATATGGGGAATGTGTCAAAGAGAAAACAACCCTACCAAAGAGCATGCAGAAAACAGCACAAGGCCACTAATGGGTCTTCAACACAGCGAGAAAATCCCGCAACTGGAGGCGGGCTTTAGCTGGCCCCTAAACAAAATGTGTACTAGTTTAGTGAAAATGGACGTCACACTAAACTCCGAAACATATAAATGAACTAAAATTAAAAACACATACAAGACTAACAAAGGCCAGAGGCTCCTGACTTGGGACAGGCGCAAAAATGCGGTGGGGTTAAACATGTTTTATGAGATCTTCACCCTCCCCCTATACCTCTAGCCAATGTAGAATAAACAAACACACAGCAATACGCAAAGTAAAACTCAGTTTAAAAGATGTCCGAGTCCGATGTCAGAATAGGTAAAAGAAGAAACTAAGCAAAATGACAATGATACATAAATTAACAAAGGACTACTATCAGTTACTGATATGCCAGCTCCAGACCTCAATTAAACTGATTGAAAGATTATGTCTTCATCATATGAAAATAAAGCACAATCCCTCCCGTTAAGGGTTTAGTATCATACCATCATAAAATATTTGAGAAGAACATAATCCGTATCATGCCAACAACTGGTTTTAGAATAAATGTGTTTATTTTCGATACAAAGACCCTATGAGTGAATCAATATTAATTCCAAAATATGCCATCGTTAATGACCTGACAACAGTATCGTAGCTATATCCCTTCTGAATAAGTCTATTTAAAGGTTTGGTTAGCTTATGTGGTGAATGACGACACTTTAGTGCTTTGTATAGAATATTACCATAAAAGATTGGATGTGACATACCTGAACGTATAAGATGTCTGCATGTTGATTTATATTTACGAATGATGTCCTTGTACCGATGATAAAACTTAGTATATGTTTTGACTAGTTTGTGATATCAAAAACCCTGTTGTAATAATTTTTCAGTAATACAGAGATTTCTTTCGTTAAAATCAAATACGTTGTTACATACACGAGCGAATCGAACAATTTGAGATATATAAACACCATAAGATGGTGACAAGGGAACGTCACATCTAAAAATGGATAATTAACAATAGAAAATGGAAAATCATCTCCTTTATCGTAAATTTTGGTATTAAGCTTCCCGTTAAAGTTATAGATATCAAGATCCAGGAAAGGGATTAGTATAAGCTTTATCTAAAGTCAGCTCAGCAGGATAAATCACTTTACTGTACATACTGAAGTCGTCATTATTGAGAGCCAATATATCATCCAAATATCTAAAAGTGTTATTAAATTTTTGTATCAGATGTTGTTTCGATGGGTCTTTGCTGATTTAAGTCAAAAATTGTAACTCAGAACAATACAGAAACAGGTCCGCAACAAGTGA